ATTAGCAAAGGAAACCAATTATATTGAAATGCAATTAACAAAATATTATTTTAAGAATTCACAGGCCCCCCCAGGTGAAGAATTCCTGTCTGAGAACAAGCATTCTTAATGAATTTTGAAGTGTGACTTCATTGATAAAGTTTGATTTACACACTACTCTCTCGAGCTACTTGTTTTCATTGTGCCAAGTGAGATACACTTAGGTTATATAAAGTTCTTGCCCTGAGGAAACATACTTTAATGAAAGGGAAATAAGAGGGGCAGCTGGGTGGCAGGGTGGATAGAGCACTGGGCCTAGTGTCAGAAAGACATGAGTTATAAATGGACTAAGACACCTACTAGCTACATGACCTTGGGCAAGTCACTTAAGCCTTGTTTGCCTCAGTTTCTACAACTGTAAAATGGGAATAGTAATACAGCCTACCTTGTAAGGTTGTTCTGAAGATCAAATGAGGTAATATTTGTAAAAAGTGCTTAGCTCAGTGCCTGGCACATAGTAAGTATTATGTAAATGCATATTTCCTTCTCCTTCTCCTTTGGTTAAGCAGGATTTTCACTAAATATCATTTAAGTAAAGGCATTAATCTCTACTGGTGTGAAGTTCTACATTAACTAGTAATCTCAGCCTTTAACACTGTTGATCACTCTCTCCTTCTTGATGATCTCTTCTCTCTTGGTTTTCAGGTCACTCCTTCTCTCTCCTGTTTTTCCTCCTACCTATCTGACCTTACCTCTGTCTCCTTTGCTGGATCCTCCTTCGGATCATGCCTTCTAAATGAAGGTGTCCCTCAGGGTTCTGTCCTGGGCCTTATTCTCTTACTCTATACTACTTCACTTGGTGATCTTGTTGGCTCTCATGGATTTAATTACCATCTCTATGCTGATGATTCTCAAATACATTTATCCTGCCCCAAACTCTCTTCTGACCTCCAATCTCATATCTCCAATTGCCTTTCAGACATCTTGAATTAGATGGCCAGTAGACATCTTAAACTCAATATGTCCAAAATGGAACTCATTATCTTTCTCCTTAAAACCTTCCCCCCTTCTACCTTCCCCTTTACCACAGAGGGCAATACCATCCTCTTAGTCCCTCAGGCTCATAACCTAGGAATCATCCTAGACTTCTCACTATTTCTCATCTCCTAAATGGAGTCCAAGGCCTGTCAATTTCACCATTGTAAAATCTCTCCTATATGACCCCATCTCTCCTCTGACACTGCCACCACTCCAGTGCAGGCCCTCATCACCTCACACCTGGATTACTGCACTAGCCTGTTGGTGGTCTCCTTCCTTCAAGTCTCTCACCAAACCGTCCTCCATTCAGCGACTAAAGTGGTTTTCCTAAAGTGCGAGCCCGATCATGTCACTCGCTACTCAATAAAACCAGTGGCTTCCTATTGCCTCTAGGAGCAAATACAAAATGTTCTCTTTGGCATTCAAAGTCCTTTGTAATCTAGCCCTCTCCTACCTTTCCAGTTTTCTTGTACCTTACTTCCAGACAGGTACTCTTTGATCTAGTGATGCTGATTTTCTAGCTGTTCTACAAACAAAACCCTCTATTTCTCAACTCCAGGCATTTTCTCTGCCTGTTCCCCATTCCTGGAATGCTCTTCTGCTCCAACTAATGATCTCTCCCTGGCTTCCTTTAAGTCCCAACTAAATACCCCATCTTTTACTGGAAGCCTTCCCCTTTAATTGTAGTGCCTTCTGTCTGTTAATTACTTCCTATTTATCCTGTATATAGCTTGCTTTGTCTATATTTGCATGTTGTCTTGATTAGAAGGTAAGCTCCTCGAGGGCAGGGACTGTCTTTTATTTCTTATTGTGTCCCCAGTGCTTAGCAGAGTGCCTGGCACACAGTAGATGTTTAATAAATGTTTATTGATTAATTGATTGAGGGCAGGAGGTAAAAAGAGACAGTCTGCCTCAAGGACAAAACCAGAAACAACAGGTGAAAGTTGGGCTGAAGTAGATCTTATGTTCCACAAGGAAAAACTTCCTGATAGAGCTGTCCAAAAGTGGAATGGGCTGCCTTGAAGAGCAGACCTCCATCCCTGGACATCTTCAAGTGAAAGCTACTACGAAGGGAATTCCTGTTCTGGTATGCTCTAATGTCCTTTGAGGTCCCATGCAAATATGAAATTCTGTGATTCTGAGATATCTGGGCACAGGGAACCCTTCCAAGGTCTCTCAAATGATGCTCTTACTATTGCAACAGTCTCCTGACTGGTAGGCTTGCCTTTTTCAAGACTGTATACCCTCCCTACTGCCCCTCTAGTTTCCAACCCCTTCCCCCAATCTTACATTAAGGAGACTAATCTTCCTAATATATTCCTTTGATGATATCATTCTCCTTCTCAAAAATCTTCAAGGATTCTTTACTGCTCACAGAATAAAGTTGTAATCACAGAATTTTAAAGGTAGATGGGCCCCTTGAGACCATTTAGTCCAGGAGTTCTTAACATTTTTTTGTATCATGGATCTCTTTGGCAATCTGGTGGAGCCTATGTACACTTTCTCAGAGTAATGTTTTTAAGTGCTAAAATAAAATACAAAGTATTACATAAAGGAAACTGAAGGATAATGAAAATAAAGATATTTTTTCCCATTCAAATTCACAATTCCCCCCCCCCATCTATCCATTGACCCTTTGGGTGTCCACGGACCATAGGTTAAGAATTCTTGATTGAGTCCAACCCTTTCATTTCTCAGAGGGAAAACTGAAGCCAAAGACAGTGAATCGACTTGACCATAGTTACATAGTTACCAGACAATTGTCTGATATTCAAAGTTCTCCACAATTTAGTTCCCATCATATTTACTGTTAGTCCTATCTACACAAAGGCAAAACTAGTCAATTCATTATCCTTCAACTTTGCTCTGTACTTTGTACTTTGTACACCCTTACTTTGCTTATATGGTTCCCCTCACCTAGATTAGCCTCCTTTCCCCCTTTTTTCCTGCCTACTCCTGACCTCTTATGAAAACTCAAATCATGGTCCACTTCCAATCTTCCCTAATCCCTCTTCCATATCCAATCCATCCCTACTGCCAGACATCTTCCTTATTCAAAGATATCCTCATTTCACACCACTGTTCAAAACCTTGCAAAGTTTGCTAGCTCCTAAATTCAAACTCAACTTTAAATTCAACGTCATCCACAAGTTAGCAATACCAACTCTCCAGGCTTATATTTATACAGTCTTAGCTCTTATACTATTTTACCTACTCTACTGTTCAGTCAGAGTAGACTACTTCCCCAGTATGTCTGGTGCAGTGGAAAAAGTGCTTGATTTAAAAGACCTGGGTTCTAAGCCCAGTATTACTGCTTTCTATCATGTGACTTTGGGAATGACAACCTCTTTCAGTCTCAGTGTGTTCCTCTGGAAAACTAAGGAGTTAAAGTACATGACCTTTAAGGCCCTGAATGGGGCAGCTAAGTGGTAAAGTAGGTAGAGTGCCAGGCCTGGGGTCAGGAAGACTTATCTTCCTGAATTCAAATCTGGCCTCAAATACTTACTAGCTGTGTCATCTTGGGTAAGTCATTTAACCCTGTTTGCCTCAGTTTCCTCATTTGCAAAATGAGCTGGAGAAAGAAATGGCAAACCACTCCAGTATTTTTGCCAAGAAAACCTTCAAATTGGGTAATGAAGAATTGGGACACAGTTGAATAATAAGGATCTGAACACAACCCATACTTTTTTGTCTACATGCATTTGCTTGTACTGTTGCCTAGATCTTGTCTCATTTGAAACAAGATAAGGTAGATAAAGGATTTTGCAAATGTTAATGCTATTTAGAAATGTCAGTTGTTATTTTTATCCCCAATTCCCAGTCTTTAAAGTCCAACTCAGATTCCACTTCCTTCATAATGCCTTTACTGAAGCCATCAAGAATTAACATTTTCTAACTCCTGAGCACTTATGTTTGATTTGTAGTAATTTGTGTATGTGTCATATTCAACTACTAGGCCTAAAACTCCATGAAGCTAATCTAAACCTTGTATTCCATTCCCCAGCCCACCCCCACGCCAAGCTCTGGGCACAAAAAGACCTACTTTGAATTAGACAGAATTCCCTGAAACTTTCCCTCACCACCAGGGGCCAGTGATGTGCTCCTCTCAACTCTCACTACACTTTTTCATATTTCTCTTATGAAATTATCATGGTCTGCCTCCTAGCAGTTATCTGCTGTCCCTCCGTTATCTCCTCTCCCCGCCTGGGAGAAGCTGGAAGGCAGGAAGGATTTTACTTCTTTCTCTATCCCCCCAGGGCAGAAACCTGGCAGAGTCCCACGGAAAGCCCGCCCCCAATTTTGTTGAATGAACGAATGAAATTCATTCAGGACCACATGACAGGAGAGACATGTAACAAAAGAAATAACTGATGCACCACTACACTTCTATGCATAGACATTTCTCCATCAGCTAAAAAATTTTAATAAATTTAATTTATTTTGTTAAATGTTTTCCAATTACATGTAAACATTTTTAAATATTCATCAAAAAAAATTTTGAGTTCGAAATTCTCTCCCTTCCTCCCGCCACTCCCCCACCCATTGAGAAGGCAAGCAATATGATAACAATTATACATGTGAAGTCACATCAGTAAAATTAAAAGTCGAACTGCAGAATTCTGGAAGTTAATCTCCCAGGTGCAAATACTCCCTAAAATCCTAGAATAGAAGATGACCACGTGTCATCTTCTAATCTAGAAAGAAACGCGGGGCAAACCAAATCACAAACCATTGACGACGGGCCACACCCCCTTCCTATGGTGGGCCAATGGAAAACGACGGTTGACAGTAAGCGCGAGCCTGACTGACCAATGGGAAGCGGCACTTCACAGCGCGCTCACGCCAAACGGGTCAATGGAAAGCAGCGCCTCACGGCGGGCTCGCGCCGGACCCGAGCCCTGTTTCAACCTCCTAGAGGAGTGTTTCTCACGGGTGTGACGTAATTTTGATGCGCCGGAAATGGCGGTCCTCGGAGCGCGCCACTGACCTCTGGGAGGGAAGTTAGCCTCGCTGTCGCTCCAGCTCCTCGGGGGCGGCGGCTCCTCAGGCTCCCGCTTGTAGGGAGTCTGCATCATGGGAGACGAGATGGATGCGCTAATCCCCGAACGGGAGATGAAGGTCAGGTTCAGTGCGATCTGGGCCGGGAGGGGCAGGGCAGGTCCCATCGGGACAGGCCACGCCGCGCCAGGCCTGGCTGGGCTGGGGGCGTCACTCAGGCCCAGTGTTGCCTTGGAGAGAGAGCCTAGGCGCTGGAAGAGCCCGCATCCTGTGCCTCCGGCCTCGAATCTCTCGAGCCACTAGGTGCTGGAGCTTAGAGCTTACGGTGCACGAGAGAATGAGAGTCCAGAGATCTGGGTTTCAGTTCCATTTTCTGGGATGTTTCCTCTTAGGTTCGACACCTTCCTCTAACCTTGCATCTGTTTTTCAAGGGATCATAGACTTAGCTGGAAGGACCCGAGGGACAGATTAGGTTGTCCCGGCCGCCCTCCACACCCATTTTACAGATGAGGAAACTGAGGCCCACAAAAAATTAAATCCTTTGCTTATTGCGATTTTTATATGTCATTCCAGCGTCCAAAGACCAGTGCTTTCCCACTACGAAAGGAAAAACTCAGCATCTGCACCTTTTCTATCTAGCTGTTTACCCAGAACGGAAAGCTATATGAGAATGGCATAAAGGGGCTTTAAAAAGCAATAAGGCATAGATTTCCAAAAGACAAGAAGGCTGTGAGCATATATTCGAGGCATAAATCAGAACAACCTCCTCTTCCCAAATATGCACAAAGTCAGAGGGAAGTAAGTGAAACTATTCCTTGGCCCCATGTTGCATATGTTTGGAGAGAGAGGAACCCAAAGTGGAAATGATTTGTGGAAGAATTCTAACATCATGGGAAAAGACAAAAATGGTTCTGGAGGGCACCATCTTATTCAGCCATAAGGGTCCACATAGGCACACATGAACCTGATTGAAGAAATCACCACTATCTATCTTACATGCTGTTGTGGAGGGCCTCCAAATCTTAAGTTTTCTTATGTAAATCTAGACTAGTCTTATTTGTTCTCGATGCCTCAGTTTCTTCATCTGTAAAATGAAAGGAAGTAGACTTAAGTTGTTTCTGAAGTTTTTTCTGACATTCTATCCTGGTTTAGTGGAATTCCTTGGTGGAATTTGTCTCTTGGGCTGTCTATATCTGAGGGGAATGTTCGAGGGACAGTTAGATTGACAGGTTGTTGTGATGGGAAGTGTAACATACTGGGTGTCAGAAAACCTAAGTCCTAGTCACTGATTTGCTACTAAATTGGTATGAGTTGTGATGGGAAGTATTGCTACGCTGGGTATCAGAAACCATGAGTTCTGTTTCATTGATTTACTACTAAGTCATAGTGTGATTCTGGGACACTCCTTTGCCTTGTCTGGGCTTATTTTCATTATGTTTAAAATTAGGGGATAGAACTAGATTGTTACTAAGGTCTTTAACATTCTGTGGTTTCTGGCTCAGTAGTCCTTGATGCATTTAGTCACTGAAGCAACAATGAAGGGAATCTCTTGGACAAATTTAGGTCAACATTGTGATTAGAAATGTACTGAATCGAGAGTAAAGAGATCTGAGATTCCATTAGATTGCAAGCTTCTTGAGGGCTGGGAATATCTTTTGCTTCTTTTTGTATCCCCAGTGCTTAGCACAATGCCTAGCACATAGTAGGCTCTTAATGAGTGTTGATTGACTGACTAACTTCTAGATTTTCCAGTGATTCATGGTATAACCTTGGGCAAGTCACTTCCCCCTTAGAGGCTCAGTTTTCCCATCTGTAAAATGAGACTAGATGGTCTCAGCTCAAGAATACTATGGATCGTGATCCTTGATGCTAATGTATAGACTTACTTACTGAGCCAATTTATATCATTGATTCATCTGTCATCTGGCTGTTGGGTAACTGTGATCTCAGAGGTCCAAAAATAATCCAAATTATACTTAGAGAAAATTTTGTTGTGGGTCTGGGTTTTTTGGGGGGGATCACAGTAGTATACTGGACTGTGAAACTGCCCACGAGAACTCTCATAACTCTTTTTGAGTTTGTAACTGCTACTTTAGAGGTTACTGTTCTCTAAGTATAATACAGGTATTATGATCCCCATTTGATTTAGAAACTTAAGTCTCAGAGAGGTTAAGTGACTTGCCCACATAACTATTAAGTGTCAGAGGTAGGGTTTAATCCATGCCCTCCTGATTCTAAGGTCATCATGCTTTATTGGCAGAACAATTTTCTGGCAAAACAGAAAACATTCTGTCTATATATAAAACTGCTCACAGAAGTGTCTGTTCTCTTCAAAACCCTTAGCTCGGTGCTGAGAATACAGAGATGCAGAATGACATAGGCTTGGTCCTCAAGGAACTTACATGTACATGTATAAGTAGGATTCAAGGTAGACAGAGATGGGGCAAAAGATATTATTTTGATGTGCTGAAACTTCATGGTTGTGAATATTTATTGAAATAAGTCACTTAGAATTAAGTCAGCTTTCTTGTTTGTCAGTATTTTTTGAGTACGTGTTATGTGCATAGACTTTGTGCCTTATGGGAATATAATAATAATTCAAATTTCTATTATCTTTTGAGGTTACAAAGTATTTTCTTCACAACACCCCATAAGGGAGTGCAAGTTTTATTGTCCCCCTTTTACAGATGAGGAAACTAAGGCTCAGAGGAAAAGTATCATTCTAATAGTTTCATGGCTACTAAGTGTCAGAGCTGAAATTATTCAGTCTTCCTTATTTCAAGTCTTGAATTCATTCCACTATACCACAGAGAGAGAAATAGAAGGCGCTGAGCTTATTCAGAAGGAATTTATAGTGTTCTCAGTGGGGAGGTAGAATCTATGTCCATGTATAATTAGAGAGTAAGATTGTATATAATTGTAAGTATGTAACAGTAAGTGAGTAAGAGAAAACTTGGGTGAGCTGAATTTGTCAGGGAAGCAGTCACGGAAGGAGTGGAAAGTACTATGTCAAGATTTTCTTTGTAATTATATTTGACCTAGGTAAGCAATACCTCTTATCATCATTTAAGCTACTGAATTACTCTCTGTTTTTATTCTTTATGACAGGATTTTCAGTTTAAGGCACTGAAGAAGGTTCGAGTCTTTGAAGCTCCTGAAGAGCTGTCCAAAGAGCGCTGCAGTATGCTTACTGTGTCGAATAGATATGGTCTAGTGTTTGCCGCAGGAGCCACTGGGTTTCGAGTTTTTCCTACCAAAAATCTTCTTATTCAGAATCGACCTGGGGAGGATCCCAATAAAATTGGTTAGTACAATTCAACAAACTCTTATTAAACTCCTGTGTGAAGAGCTTTTTCCAAGTTATTGATTTATGTAAGGTAGAAGAGAGAGGAGTGTAGTGAAGTACTAATGAAGTAGTCTTTTTCTCGAAGAAAATCTCTGAAATGGTCACTGAAGACTGTGATTTTAAAAGTATTACTAAGTTGACCAGAGATTCCCAGGTAAGTGCCATAGCACCCAGAGATACCATAGCTATCCCTGAGGTGTTGGAAATAATTCATGAGGGTCTTCCTTTTAGGGTATCTGTTCATCCTTTCAAGCACAAAATAGAGAAAAGTCTAGCTTATTCTTTTATTTTTTTTTTGTTGGGTTTATGACCTGATTGTATAATGTCTGGGAGGAGTTTATTATATCACTTTTTAGTTGATCTAGCAGTACTCTTGTTAGGAAGAAGATGGGCAAATTATGTACTAATGATAGAATTACTATGTCACTGGGGCCGTAAGCAACACTGCTTTACAAAGACTTTCCAAAGCTGTTCTTTTTATATTGGGATGCCCTGACTGGGTTACAGAAGAACCAAAACTTAATGAGGTTTAATTGCATCTTAATATTAAGGGTATATGTCTGGGAATCTTTTATGTAGACACATATTGTACGTATCATAGTACTAAATTAAAGGAGTTTTTTGTCTGCGTACTTATCTTTTGTTTCTTGTCCTTTTTTTTTAATAGTTGAGAAAGTTCCAAATGTATTTATCCCTATGAAATTCCCAGTATACCACTTGTCTTTGAGCTGTGATAATCTGACACTCTCTGTTTGTATGACGTCCAGTGAATTTGGCCTCATTGCCTTTTTTGATGTTCGCACACTCTCAAATGAGGTAAGGAACTTGTCAACTTATCTTGGAATCTTCATTCAGCATGAAAGTACAGTTTCTGGTGTTGAGCACTCACCTCTGAAGCACCTGCCTGCAGTTTTGCTTGCAGAAAATGGTATTTACCCATTATTGAATCATAGAATCTTAAAACTGAGAGCTTGAAGAGATTATCTGCTACAGCAGATAATCTCCTGAGATGATGGCATCATTGTTTTATACATGAGAACTGTGAGACCCTAGAAAGGTAGCTTGCTGAAGGTTGCACAGTTGGTAGGATCCATGAACTTAGGTCCGATGCATGCATCTTAGTATATTCTTGTTGCTTCACCAGTCTGTATGCTCTTTGGCAAATATTTTAGTCACTTGCTGCTCATCAGGTATTTTTAGTTTGTTTTCGGTGTTGTTACTTTGAATATGTTGAGCTAACAATTTCAGCATCTTGCCTTAAGACTTAAGAGTCATAATCAGAAGTTATTTCCCCACTCTGGGCCTTAGTTTCTTCATCTGTAAAATGAATGGATAAGACAAAAGGATTACTAAGAAGCCTTCTGATTCTAAAGTTCTTTAATTGTATGAGGATAGTCTGTAATTGGGAGAAGCTAGCATGGACTGGTTTTGTCTGAAGGATGTGGTGCTTCTATGCATGTTTTAAAAGGCTAAACAGCAGAAACGCCCATTTGCTTATCACAAACTGATGAGAGATGCTGGTGGCGTGGTCGTTGATATGAAGTGGAACCCTACCATCCCCACCATGGCGGCAGTTTGCTTGGCTGATGGGAGTATCGCAGTTCTGCAAGTCACAGATGTAGTGAAAGTGTCTGCAAGCCTTCCACCATCTGTAGCAGTAACATCTGGTAGGTAATAAAAGCCTTGGCCCTATAATGTATAGTTATGTGATTCTTTTTAAAAATTAATTTCTAGAAGTAATATGTGACATTAATATCTGAAAGAGGGGATAATATTCTTGGAAGCAAGAGAGCATAAATAATTTAGACTAAGAGTACTTAGTTTTTCTAAAGGAAGAAACATTTTCATACTGCTTGCTGGTCTTCAATTGGGATTTGAGAATAACTTAATATCTCTTGTTCTAAAATGAATGCACTCTGGTGCATTCTTTTGCTCCTTCTGAGGAAAAGAGTATAAGAAATGATAGTGAGAAATTGAACAATTTTCTGATACTCATAGGACTGCTTCACTGAGGTGGAAAGCCTTAATCCCTCTGGGCAGGTCTCATTTAAAAAGCACTCTTAGCCCTCAAATGATTGGGCCTAAGACAATACAATTTGGTTGGATCCTACACATATTCTCAGTGTCTTTAGCTATATTCAATAAATTCCAAAACAAGCTGCCTTCTTCTTTGAATTGGCTAATAAAGCAACAATTGGTGATCATGTAAATTATCTTGTTATCAATCTCAGTTGTTAATGCTGTTTTTGAAAATCTTAGTAAAAATTTCTTCTTTCCTCAGTGTGTTGGAGTCCTAAAGGGAAGCAGCTTGCTGTAGGAAAACATAATGGAACTGTCATCCAGTATCTCCCTGTAAGTTTAGTCTGCCTCTTCATGTGTGTGAAATTTATTTAAGTCACTCACTGTTACCTTTGCTGTCTGGGCCTCAAAGATGGGTGAAATCAATATGAGACTTTTGTGTTTGGCATAAATTGCTTTGCTTCTGGGGAGGACCAGTTGGAACTTGGTGTGGGTAGTGTTGATTATTTGAAGCAAGGCCTTTTGTCTTTCAGACATTGCAGGAGAAAAAAATAATTCCTTGCCCTCCATTTTATGAAGCAGATCATCCTGTAAGAGGTAAAATATTTTATATTTAAAGTTGACTGCTTTAAAAAAAAATTGGACTGACCCCTGATGAGTTATTGTTAAAGTATATTCACATTAGCCAAGTTTTATCACAAAATTCTCAAAACTATACACTATATTTTATCATCTTCAGAACCATTTTGAGTAAATTTTAGATTCTTTTATATTCACGTTATTTCAGTTCAACATAGGAAAGCAGTTTTTGATGAATTGCTCTGGGAGACTCTATTTGTCTTTATATGCATGTCAGTTTTTCCTAGAAATGTCCATTTTTTTTAAGTCCCCAGAAAAATTAATAGCTATTTTGGCCTGAAAGCTTCTCAGCTTCTGTTAGGTGCTCACAGTCAAAGGAATCTTCTCTAAATTCTTAAAAGTTACTTAATTTCATATATTTAGATGTTAATTTTGTAGTATCTAATGGACAGCATCAACCATGAATAAGTCATTGCTTCATCTGTTATTTTTAATGATGGATTCATTAAAGTATATCCCTTTTCAGTTCTCGATGTGCTGTGGATTGGTACATATGTCTTCTCAATAGTGTATGCAGCAGCAGATGGGACCTTGGAAACTTCCCCAGATGTGGTGATGACTGTACTACCTGTATGTATGCTAATATATATGTCCTGCTTATGAACTTAATAGCATTGATTTAGGTATCCTTTTAACAAATTATTTTTGCTTGAATATCTTTTGTTTTTCTTTGGAATGTTTTATGTTCTTTTACTTTGGATTCTAAGTAAAGGAATACCCAGGTACCAGTCATGTGTATCTCATACATTTCTCCAACCCCCACCAATATAATTTTTAAAAAGTCAGTTCAGTAAGCATTAAGTAAAATAATGTTGAAAATTCACCTCTGAGAGTTTGAACCATGAGTCCAAGGAACAAGCTTGTGTAGCTCACTGTGGTTAGTGTTTTATTCATACTGCCCTATTTAAAACTGGTTGGATTAATTTGATTGTAAATTGAAATTCCTATATTAATTTAAGAAAGAACCTAGCTAAGTTCTGAGTATTTGCCTTTTATTTTTCACTTGAACTAATCTACTAGAAACTAAGTATATCTGGGGCTCAGTAATTATTAGAAAATAAATGAAGAGCACTAAGTGTTGTTTATTCCTAGGAATCTAGATTCTTTGATCTGTCAGTTGATCTGTGAAGTCACTGATACTGGCATTCCCTTAAGTTATGCAGATCACGACTGTCATCCATGTCTTCTCATTGTATTCTATTCTTGTCCCTGTCCTATAAGTCTTCTCTGGGGGTTACCCAAATACTGGGGGTGGGGAGGCCTTTTTGGGGGAGGAAGGGAGGAGAGATAAGCATTTATATAGGGCCTACTACGTGCCAGGCACCATGCTAAGCACTTTACAAATATGATCTCTCTAGATCTGTTGCGCTTGAAATAATGTAAACTGAGGCAACAAAGTTCTGAGTATGATCAGTTTATTCGCAGGACTAGCAGTTACCAATAAATGGGGTCCAAGGCTCCTCAGTAACCAAGGACATGCCTGAGAGTCAAGACAGCTCTTTTATAGTTATACAGAAGAACCCAAAAATAGAAGTTGACATCAATCTGGCGTAACAAAGGTGTATCTCACTTGTGATAGGTCAGTGCCAAGGTTACTAACCACAGGTTACATCAATATTTTACAAGGTAGGCTTACATCCTGTGGAAAGTCCTGTGGAAAGTTGGCAATATCTGAGAGAGAACAAGGAGCTTGTGGTATACATGTTGCTGATTGCTGATGGATTAGAATATAGATTAGAATTTTATGGCTGGAGAGTCCCATGGAGAGGAATTTAATGGGTGGAAGGTGACCAAATAAGGAGCTAACAGCTGTAAGCTTAAGGAGTTCAGAGAGGGCTCAAGTTCACATGCTAAAGGAGAGTGACTCATATATAGCAACTTGACCATTAATACATAGTAAATTGATTAAGCCTTAGTAAAATAGAAGAGATTATCCATTTTCAATTACACACATCTTTGGACTCTCCTTGGATACTGATGGAGTACATAGGCTGTATACCTATGTTGTTCTTTGGTTATCTCTCACTCTCATATTTCTGACCCACCACCTTTTCCAGACATACTTCTCTCCAAGAATATCTTTTATGTTGCTTCTCTCATGTAGCATACTCTTGCTTACCATACCCTTTCATTGACTTTTATAACTTTAATTCTTTTGAGACTTGGGGATTTCCATACAGCATCACTGGAAGAATTTTGATGTTAGCAAGATGGATCTTTATTTCAAGTAGAAACTTGGGATTATTAAAAGCACTGCATGGTTACCCAAAAGCAATTCAGTCTTCTTTCCTCCTTATGTTCAATTAATTGTTCATTCACAGTGTCTGTCCAAGATATATACTAATAGACCAGCTCTACAGGTTGCCCATCTCACTAATATCCCAGTCTGGACAATAGGCTTTCTTAAAACATCTTGTTTTTTTCTTTGGGTAGTTAAGCTGACATTTTTTGAGGGATGATGGTTTTTTTAAAAATTAATCTATTTATTTTTAGTTTTCAACATTCACTTCCATAAGATTATGATTTTTCAATTTTCTCCCCATCTCTCAACTCCCCCCACCCCAAGATAAATTGATATAGGCTCAATGTATATATTCATGTTAAACCTATTTTCACTTTAGTCATGTTGTGAAGAATTAGAACCAATGAGAGAAATCATGAGAAATAAGAAACAAAAAGAAAAAAAAAGAGCAAATAAAATGCTTCAATCTGCATTCAGACTTCATAGTTCTTTTTCTGGATGTGGACAGCATTTTCCAGATGATAGTTTTTTTAAAGGAGCCTCTTCAGAGTTCCAGGTCTTGATGTCACCAGCACAAAGCAGGAACACCTGAAAGACCTTACTATTTATTTTTTTGTTCAGTCATTTTTTAGAAATGTCTGATTCTTCACGACCCCATTAGGGATTTTCTTGGTAAAGATACTGGAGTGGTTTGCCATTTCCTTCTCCAGCTCATTTGACAGATGAGGAAACTGACGCAAACAAGGTTAAGTGGCTTGCCCAGAGTCTCTCAGCTAGTAAGTGTCTGAGACCAGATTTGAACTCGGGAAGATGAGTCTTCCTGATTCCAAGCCCAATGTTCTATCCACTGCATCCCCTAGCTGCCCTTACTATTCATAGGGAATCCATAGGATCATAGGTTGAAAGTTGAAAGGGACCTTAGAAGTCCAACCCTCTCATTTTATAGATGAGATTTAAGTGAATGGCTCAGGGCCACATAGCTGGTGTGTCTTAAGTTAGGATTCAAACCCAGGTCTTCCTAATTTTAAGTCTAGTGCTCTATCTACTGCATTGCTGTGCCTCTCCCCAGTTGGATTCTGCCCCAGACATTCCCGTGACAGTGACAAACACCTCTGGTGATCGTTCTTCCCATTTTTTGTCTTACTCGGTGTTAATACTTAGAAGATTAAACAAAAATAAAGTTATCTCTGTTACTTACATTTTTCAAGCACTTATATTTTCAACATGAAGATAGGAAGATATCTTACAGTAGAGCTGTAAAAGCAGTTATTTTGTTCTACTGAATCTGGTGCTTTTTTTATAGTTTAATAATGGGTGCAGTACTATTTTTTATTTTCTGTACTTTTCAATCATTTGTATAACTGTAAAGATGTGTTCTTCTCTGTAATGTCTTTCTGAAAAGTTTCCTGTTCCTTTCTTATACCTTTATCAAAGATGCTCTCAGTACATGTGTAGAGTATTCTTATCAAAATTTTCTAGGGATGGGAAAATAGGTATATGGGTCTTGATAGCCCTTTATTTAGAAGTAGGGATGAAACTGAAGACTGTGATTTTAAAAAATAAGTTTTATTGATACCTTTTGTTTTTATATTGCAGTCATTTCCAAATATGTGTCATTTGCATGTCCCACTTAAGTATTAAACCCTTTCTTATAATAAAGAAAAAAATAGGCAAAAACAACCAATAAAGTTGATCAGCTCTGATAGTAGGTGGTTCCCCACCTCTTTGCCAAAAAAGAGGAAGGTATATTTTCTTTTCTGTACTCTGGGACCAAGATTGGTCATTACAGTTACTTATACTTCTTCCTTCCAGTGCTCTTTTCATTTATGTTATTATATTTACTGTGTATGTTTTTCTCATTGTGAATAATTCAACCAGTGTTAGTTTGTGAGTCTTCCTATGTTTTTCGAAATTTCCTGTATTTGTCATCTCTAATTATACAGTAATGTTGTTACATTTACGTATCACAGTTCATTGAGCTATTCTTACCCACTTTATTTCCATTTCTTTACTGCCTCAAAAAATACTGCTTTGAATATTTATGTATATATGGGACCTTTCATCTTTTCTTGTATAATTCCATTTTTCACAATGGTTGGGGACTGTAGCTTGTTCCAAGGGCTTAACATTTTCCCCTCTTTTTGATAACTTGAGAATCAAATCACTTAGTGCCATCAAAATTGTGTCACTTCCAGTATGGCCTTCTCCTGGTGTACTTAGTCTAATCCAACTATTTTTCCCTTCTTTGTTTTCTTTATTGCCATTTCTGTTTCCTTATGTAGGATCTTGGGAGCTGTGACGTTAGAGTTCCACTATTGTTAATGGAGAAGAGAGTTAGTTGTAGTAATTATTGCAGGTCTTTTTCATTTTTTGCTCTGTTGTGCTCCAGTTTCATCTTTAAATGCTTTCAGAATCATCTGGCTTAATTGGCTCTTTTGTTAGATTTTCTGTAAATTTGTTTTTACCTGGACTGCTTCTTACCATATTGTGAACGATACTACTCATAATCTTCTCAGTAAGAAGTTACAGCTAAGTATATATTGTAAACTGCTGCTGTAGTTGACTGCCATATCTTTCCACTTGGCAAGGAAATCAAGTGTTTGCTGGCTGAGCTAGTTTCTAGATTCTTTTAGTCTCCTTACTGTGGGCATTGATTTACATTGGCTAACTTCCTTAGGAAATGGTGATACCTATGTTGAAGTCTGTCCTTTTATCCATTTAACCCCTTTTTGATGTCAACAGCTTGTTAAAAATAGCCAGCTTGGAGTTAACTCATTTGCAACCCAAATCTCTCTTTATTCTTTTTTGGCAATGATTTTGATCCTTGTTCCAGCAAGTCAGTAGTCTGACTATACAGGCAGTTGATTTGGAAATGACTCCTGCATAAGTAACCAATCATTTCCTCTCCATTAGAATAGAATCAGTTTTCATTTTTGTGATGTTCTTCAGTTTTTGCCATGTCTAACATTTCCAGAATCTCTTTTTGAAGAAAATATTCATAATCTGTAGGCAGGAAGCTTCCATATAGTCCAGGGTCCTTTGGCATCTTTCATTTCTACCTTTTAAACCATTCTAGATCAATGGTTCTTAACCATGAGTCCGTAAGCTTTTTTTTTTTTTAGTAGGGGTTGTTGGAGGAGGCAGTTGGGGTTAAGTAACTTGCCCAGGGTTATGCAGCTAGTATGTATCTGATGCAGGATTTGAACTCAAGTCCTCCTGCCTGGTATTCTATCCACTGTGTCACTTAGTTGCCCTTGTAAACTTTTTTTTAAAAATATTTTGACAACTATGTTTTAATATAATTGGCTTCCTTTATAATCCTATGTGTTTTATTTAATACCTTTTTTTAAAAATTCTGAAAAGGGCTCTCTTGATTACACCAGACTGCCCAAAGAGTCCATGATATAAAAAAAACTTAAGAACCTTTAGATCAACTCCTGAACCAAACTGAACATTTCATGATTTCTTAAAATTTAAATGCATTAATTTGTGTTAATTGGCAATGTATTTCTTGGGACACTGAACAGTGTAGGTTTGGAGGAAAGGGGTATGTCACTTATTCCTTTTTTTCCTCTTCCGTGTTTATAGAAAAAAGAAGACAAGCACCCAGAGATATTTGTGAATTTCATGGAGCCTTGCTATGGCAGCTGCACTGAAAGACAGCATCATTACTATCTCAATTATATTGAAGAATGGTGAGTCTGGAACCCAGGAAAGAGATTTCCTTCTCTCACTACGAGGTCAGAAATCATAGTTAAATTTCTCTTTGGTAATCTTTTTGCAAATGGGAAAAAGAGAGGCTAAATACTGTGACAGCTTCAGCTGTTGCTAGACAGAAATCTATGATAGTTCCTGCTTCAACCTCCTGTCATCCACAGAGAGTATAAGTACATAATTTAAAAAAAATTTAACTTCGTTCCAGTGGTTGCTTATAGGGAAATTGGCATTTGAAGAACATTTCTAAGTTCTCCTCCTGAGCACAAGTGGAGCTCTAAGCATTTCACTAAGCATTACTTATGCTTATATAGCAGAATGAGATAATGTTTGTAAAGCACATATTTAGCACAGTGCCTGGCACATAGTAGACACTTAATAAATGCTTGTTACCTTCCTCCTCTTATATAACTGGTAGGAAATACATATTTAATGATTTTTTGCTCCTTGCAGAGCAGTAGCAGGAGCTGTTTTTCTTTGTCTACCACTTTAAATGCTTTCCTTACATCAGTCTTTTGAGATAAGTAGTACCAAGATGATCATCTCCATTTTTTACAGATGAGACAGCTAAGGCTCAGAGACATTAAATCTCTTGCTTGGAGTCACACTGAGTTTGTACGTGAGAACCAGGCCTTGAACCCAGATATTTCCTGAATCCAAATCCAGTACTCTTCTATGCTCTGTTGTATCTGTGCTTGTTTATAAAATGCTATTACTGTTATTTGATAACTGATGCGTCTTTCTCTTGACAAGACATAGTGCTGTTGGCTGACTTTTTTTGGCTATATTTCTTGACCCAAAAAATGAAACATTGTCCATAAAGCCCTTTCTGTTCTACAGCTGTATAGGCCACATCACTTTGTCTTTAGCTATTCAATAGAGAAATTAAATTTTCTGTATTGACATAATGATATATTCCTTTATAAGTGTTACTAGTTCAGATCAGGTTATATAGCCTTTGCCTATGACATAATGGTGATCTGGATTTGTTTCTTGAAGGGACCTAGTGCTGGCAGCCTCTGCAGCCTCGACAGAAGTTAGCATCCTTGCCCGACAAAATGATCAGGTACTTTAATTTTTATATAAATAGTCTCTGGTGGTTTTCTAAGTAAAATTTCTAGGGGAGTAGGCAAGTTAAAATTGAAAGAACAGTTAAGATATGTAAGTTTCCCATTGCTTCATTATTTCATGTCTAGACTATAGAAGCATCCGAATGACATGCTGGAGCTGTAAACAGAATGGGCCATTTATTGTAGGGCCAGGCAGCCTGTAGATACATTTGGGGTATCAGATTTAGTGGTAACCAAACACTCATGTCCTCAAATGATCAGTTATGGATCAGCAGAGTGGACTAGATGACAAAACCATCAGTGAGGCAGTTTGTGTCTTTGTGTGGGGTGGGACTGAAAACTAATCTGACCTTATTCCTATTCACAGTAACTTTTTTCTGTTGGCTTTCTTAAACCCATTTCTTCCCCACTCATGTGTATATGAAGAGTTGGAATTGGGTGACCTAAGGTCCTTTCCAATTCTTTAAGTCTGCAATCCTCTGACCATAAGACAGTAGTTAACACTTGATTATGTCTCCCATTGTGTGTGTGGGTTGGGGTGGGAATGTGGTTGGGATTGATGTATGTGATATCAAACAGTGGATAACAGGTCATTTATGTTTGATCTTGGAACAATAGCTCACATTCACATAGCACACTAACGTTTACCAAGTACTTTCCATATGTTATCTCCTGCAGTCAAAGATTTATTCATTGTGGCAAGAGGCTGAGCCCAAATAGCTTACGAGTTCATATAGGCAATTATTGGTAGACAGGCAGTGAAGAGACCCAGCTAGTAGATGCTCTTTCCACTACATTATACTGCCTCCACAAAATGAATTTTCCTAATTTATTATAAGGAAGAGAAAGTAAATCTACTTTATTGTAATACATTTTGACTATTATCACAGTTTAAGGAGAAGAAAGCAAATTTCCCAGCCTCCAGATTTCCGAAGCTGCCCTGGGCTTCCACCATTTTAATGCCAGATTGGATTTAAATGTTAGAATAAATTTGTAGATAACAGATTAATCCAAGAGAAGTGATTCTTCACTTATTCCCGCATGAAATGAGATAAAAGGCAAAACATAGACTAAAATGGCTCTTTCTTCCTTTCCAGACTAGCTGGGAATCCTGGCTTCTGGAAGACTCCAGCCGAGCAGAACTGCCTGTTACTGATAAAAGTGATGATTCCTTGCCTGTGGGTGTTGCTATCGATTATACCAGCCAAGTAGAAATACCTATCAGTAAGTGAGATGCTCACCTTTAAACTCAGAAATGCAATTTTTTTTTTCCTGAGGCAGTTGGGGTTAAGTGACTTGCCCAGAGTCGCACAGCTAGTAAGTGTTATGTGTCTGAGGCCAGATTTGAACTCAGGTCCTCCTGACTCCAGGGCCGGTACTCTATCCACTACACCATCTAGCTGCCCCCCAGAAATGCAGTTCTTTCAAAAGATTGTTTGGCTTCAAGCACGATATCTCCAGAAGTACATGTTAATGACAAATACATTTCATTGTCTCTCCACTATACTGCTTAAACTTATGCATAATTGCCACTTATTTTGGTGGCATATAGTCCCCTAAAACCCTTTATATGGGGGTAGTTGTTGAGATTGACTCAGGTTATAACACTTTATAACTTTTTTCTCTAAAATACAGTTAAAATCTAGAAGCTTAAATTTGATGTTAATGCCAAGATAACTCAGTTGGAGTTTCATTCCTTGATTATTTTTATTTTTCTTGGTTATCTTTTAAATCATAGTGTTTCAGATAGTTTTCTTTGGTGACACCTCATAGATTAGAACAATCACTTCTTGGGATATTCCAATCATTTTAATGTCAGGTTGGATTTGAACTCCTGAGAATGTGTGTAGCTAACCACTTCATGTTACCTGGAAGGGATCCACAAAAATTGGTTTGACCCACTCCTTCCAAAACCTAGCATCAGAAACAAGAATGGCCTGCTTTTCCTCTAAGGCACTTGCCATTTGTCAATCATCAGATTGCTGTAATAGGCATGGAGTAATGGAAGGATTGCTGGGGTAATCTTGCTGTAGGTTTTGAGTCAGTGATTCTCAGAAAGGCAAATCTCATGTCCACATTTTATCTCACACTATTTCCAATCCATTTGCCACACCCCACTCCCAACCCTCTACAAAAAAAAAAAAAGGCCTGTACTTCATCTGTTCGTCATCAGGTAGCTTTCTTTCTTTACCTTCTGGTGCCTAGCATTATGCTAGGTACTTTGGTGGCACAGAAATAAAAGATGTTCTTTACTCATAAGGAGTTTTGAGTATCCAGTCTGGTTGGAATCAGGTTTGTCTTTCTGGTGCTAAATGGCCATTTAGAGTGCTACAACTCTGGTCTCCCTCAGACATTGCAGCATTTCTTAATCATTGAAAGGGAAAGTGTTTCAGGAGAGAATTCAAGAGCTTTCCTCTAAGTCCTTGCTTTGCTGCCAGAGATGGTTCAAGTTCTTGTTTTTGTCACTTATATCAAATCCTTACGACTTCTTTATTGACAATATGTCCTTTCCCCATTCAGTGAGACAATTGTGTTTATAATAAAAATGTGGTTTTAACCATATGGATTTGAAAATTGTGGCTTTTCAAGCATGGAGTCCAAATGTTATCAGTCTGGAGCTCTATATACCACCTACTATGTTGATGCTTGGCCAAATGCTGTGAATCAAGAGAAATACTTTTCATCTGCCTCCTAGTGCTCTAAGCTTTGGAATTCTATCACAGTCAAGCACCATTAAATTCTACAGCATAATCCCCTTGTACAAGCCTCAGTCATGCAGGACTGTTTGGTCTGATTAACTATTTGCACTGACTGGTCCAGAGGAGAAGCTGGTTCATTTGATTACCCTTGACAAGTCTGAACTGACAAAGTACATGTGTAGGAGTCAACTGTGAATGAATGTAAAGTTGTTTGCTGTGCCTTTTAGTCCTCTGCTTTGCTTTTACATATAGACTAGTCTATTATTTTCCCACTAGCAGTTCTGCCTAAAAATTCATGTCCTTTTAATTTTAAATGCTTTGAGGATTCACTTATAGTTTTTCGTACCTTGAGGCATCCTGGACCTACCCTTTGAGCTCTGAGATACATTTTAAAACTCAGCGCCTTTGATAGAGTAATGAAGTTATCTTCATATAAGGCACAGCTGGAAGCTGATTATCTAATACAGGGATGGGGAATCACATGTGGCCCTCTAGGTCCTCAAGTGTGGCCCTTTGACTGAATCCAAGCTTCACAGAGCACATCAGCTGTAGTATGAAGATTTAAGATTAAGATTCCAGTAATTTTAAGTGTATAATATCCTTGTGGGAAACCTGCTGGCCAACCTCTTGTCTCAACCAGTGTTTCTGGGTTCCTGAATTGACATTGTCTCCCCTTTTTATCTTTCTCTTTAATAGATGATGAAAAGACCCTTCCTCCTGCTCCAGTTCTGATGTTGCTTTCAACAGATGGTGTACTCTGTCCATTTTATATGATCAATCAAAATCCTGGTCTTCGGTCTCTGATCAAGACCCCAGAACAACTTACTCTAGAAGGAGAACGACAACCCAAATCATCAGGTACATACCCTCAAATTTCTTTTGTGGACATGGAGTTTGTAGTTAGCTTGTTGAAGGATTTTTCTTCTCAGGAAGGAAGGAGCCAAAGAAGTACAAATTGTGGTTATTCAGTTAGAGTTTAACACATTCATTAAGTACCTACTGAGTGCAAGGCACAATGCTAATCTGTTACATCACAACTCCTGTCTTCATATGGGACAGAGAATTCTATACTTTCTTCCCTTCTGAATTCTTCCTTGTTAGTAGTAACTGGAAACTTGCTCTAAAACTTCATCCTCAGTCAGAATTTCCTGTCATACAGAGCCATCTTGAACCCTTGTCAAGGAAGGTTAGTTACTATGGTGCCTGGAGAATCACATTCTAAGTTTGGCTCAGACATTTTACCACAAGGACACATCTTAAGTATTACATATATTTATATGCTAGAGCTGGATACAAAAACTCTCAGGTTTGCTACCTTCATGTTCAGAGATATCAATGGGAAGTGCAGTGTTCAGTCATTTATATCGATAAGACTAACAGAAAGAAGAAGTGAAGTTAGTGTGGTTTGGGCAAGGCAGCAATTTTTAAAATTACTTTGGTACCATGGTAAGAGCATTTAGACCTGGAGTCAGGAGAGACCTCCCACCTCTGACACTGGTTAGTAGTATCCTAGGTGCTTAACCTCTTTGGGCCTCTGTGAAATGGGAATAATACTCATAGTACAAGGCTGTTGTGAGGATCAAATGAGATGGTGTACAGAAAAGCACTGTGCAAACCTTAAAGAACTGTGTAAATGTCTTATTATTAGGATGCCTTTTCTCATACCTTTTCCATTCATACCTGTACCATTAGGTACATTCCTAAATGGGACTATTAAGACACCTAGGCTACTGATGAACAATACCAGTAGCCCTTTGATGACTAGGGGACTAATTCCTGGTTCACTTATTTGTATGGGACTTCTGGATCAAGATATTCACTAGCAGGTGGTATGATGTTATGGCTAAAACAGTGGACTTGGAGTCAGGAAGACTTGTACAGATCCTTCATTGCACATTAGCTACATGACCCTGACCCTGAGCAAATCATTTAACCTTTTTCAAATCCATTTCCTCTTCTGCAAAATGGCACCTTCCTCACAGGGTTGTTGTAAGGATCATATGAGATAATCTGTGGAAGACAAAGTGCTTTGCAGACCTTGAAGCACTCTGAACGTGTGCACTAGTATGAACTGATTGGTAGCAGTGAGCCATGTGGATTCTCTTGCCTAATCCTCCTTCATGGGCACCACACATTGTGAAATGACAAGTTCCAATATATGCTGTGAGCTTTGCTCATACTTACCTTCTTGATGGTATTTACTTTGTACATGATCACTGAGGGGAACTCTTATCCAATAGGTATAAAATATAAAAACTTGATATAAATGCCACTTTTTATTCTTAATCTTTCCTGGTGGCTAGGGCTGGTCTTCCACAAGTCTTGAAGTCACCCAGCTCTTTATTTTGGGCCATCAAAGGAGAGAATGCTTGTAAGCAGGAAACAGAAGTGAACATATGCTAGGAGCACGCTCTCCACCCAAGCCTTGCAAATATGTCCTTAACTAAATCTGTGGTTCTTAAAGATTTCACCAGCCTTCCCCACCCTTACTGTTGTCAGAGTATGTATCTGTCTGGGACAGACACAGGAAAGAGGACAGTAGTCCCTTTAGATAATGATATTTTCTTCTGTGTGTGTACATGTGCATGAACACACACACACACACACACACACACACACACACACACACACACACA